TCTCAACGAGAGGGGGCTCGACCTGCAGCATGATTGTAAAATCAGAAGGGTAAGCATACTGCAAGCTAGCCAAACACTCAGCGCATCAGGGAGGCAGAGGAAGGGCCTAACTGATGCTGCTGGTTCCAGGTACTCTTGGAGAAACAGAGAACTCAAACTTCTCATGTGAGAGGAGAACTCCGAATTCAGAGGAATAACGTTGCTTATTCCAGGTAACCCTTTGATAAAGAGGAGCACTGCTCAATACTACCACGAGGACAGCCCATGGAGCGAGTGTTAATGAAATAACATCATCCTCCAGCGGCTCACTCTCGTGCACAGCCGACAATTGCGAAAGGGAAAACCCCCTTCAAACTCATCGGCCAGATCCACCTGTGATCCCCACGAGCTCATTCCCTTCCGTGCCTCAGCAGCGGCGGGTCCTGAATCGCGTGAAGCAGATGGCTGCCCCTCTTTCCTCGAAAAAAGAGACAGACGAGAGCGGAGCTTTTCCCTTGGAAAAAACTCTCGCAGTGCACGCCGATTGCCCCCTCGGAGGCATCGCGTGCGTGCTCTTTGCCCAAACAAATAACGCATAGATCGTGTGTGTCATCAGATGTCAAACAACGTCAACACTGATGCACACATCCTTAAACGCTTTGCTAGTGCTCGCCATAATGAGATGAATAGATCGCTCTTACCACAGACATGCACACTTCAAACAAAACAGTCAATGAAGACGAAGAAGAGAATGATGAAGATGAAGAGAAGAGAAAAAGACAATAAGACTACTGAATTAATAATAACTGGTAGTTAGTCAAGTTTTATTGTTGATAAAAGCATATAGTTTTTACAGTGAATATTGTGCAAACTTTTGCAAGCAGCTGCAGTGACTACATGACAGTGAAATGGGTTCCTACACTTCAATACTCTCACCTCATGCAGCAGTATGACTCACCATATGGGACCTGGCTGAGAAAACATTTGGCATTTAGCTTGTTGTAACCGGACAAAATTTTATTTCAGAGCTTTATAAACAAAATGTATCGGGACACATTAACAGAAGACTTTTTTACTGGTCTTTTGCAAAATAACAAGTGAAAATCTTCTCAGGCATCACAACCTTTAAGAAATAGCTGAAAACACCACTCTTCCGTGAACAAAATACTTCCATAACCATAAACAAGAGCACTTCCTATAAATTACGCTTTCTTTAGCACCTCCTTTCTGTCTGCTTCTTTATGGTCTACTCTTTTATGGAAACTTTGCATTGTGGTTCTGCTAATATTATTAGCTCCTGTAAATTGCTGGTTTTAAATTCTTCTAATTTGTAAGCTACTTTGAATAAAAGCATTTGTTAAATGATCAAGTCATTAATTTAATCAGGCAGATTTGTTGATGTACATATGTCCTCGCCAGTTCATTTTGGTTGTGGTTTTTATCATGGCCCTTATTAGGAAAACATCAGTTCCTCCAGTTGAAATATGAATTTCTTTCATAACTTCCACAGAGAACTTTCCCCAATTATTTTTCTGCTCGCCTGTCCATCCAACATGTGGGTGAATATGAGATCCCCAAAGAATGGTTTATGGACAAAGGTTTATGGATCAGTGGTTTCAGACAGGATATTAAAGGGGTCCTATTATGCTCTTTTACAAAGTCTTGATTTTGTTTTGGGGGTGTACTTGAACAGGCTCTCATACTAGGTTGTTCGAAAAACACATTATTTTTCACATATTTTACATTATTACAACACCTCTCTCCCCAGCCTGGCATAAACAGCTCGAATAGTTCCTGTATCAAATGAAGGCCCACCTTCTGAAATACGAAATGTGCTGTGATTGGTTAGCTGGGCCAGTGTGTGTTGTGATTGGCAGCACTCGGCGCCTGGTCAGGAAATGTCATGCCCCTTACCATAGCCGCCTGCGAGCTTCAGTGTAAATATTGCGTCAAAATCAAATCAATATCAGCGAGGTTTAAACCTGGATGATTGTAACCACTCTAAGTTCGTCTGCCTTGGAAAAGCTAGCGTATCTCCGACATAGTGATAACACTCGTTGCCTTCTCTAGTGCAGCTCAACCAGGTCTCATCCCATTCGTCGATATTTGTGATATCACAAATGCCAGAAAATATGCATTGTAGTCCAAACGAGTCATTCATTGTTGTTTTTGAAAAATGATTTCTGTTAAATAAAATATCTCCTTTTGAAGTGGACTTTGAACTTTGTAACTTTGCAGATCTTTTTTATGCTCAAACAGCAACATTACAGACTAACTAAAGTTGAGAAAGTGAAAAGGCATAATAGGACCCCTTTAAGACAGTGTTGTACTATGAAGGCTATATTTCCTTTTCTTGTCTGTTAATGATACGTAACATCAGGGAGCAAAAGAAGGTGGTTATGGTGGAATATTGACAAACAGTGAAAAACTACACCCTTCTCCACAAGTTGTAAAAAACAAAAACTGGTGTTAAAAGATGAGCAGAGCATTCAAAGAGATACCAGCATATTTCAAGAGAGGACTTCAAACAGTGTTTCATATCAGGCTTCAACAAAGGTAAAAGAAGGTCAAACTTAGAGCAAGGAAGACAGAGGCTAAAAACTCTTTCATTGTTGTTTAGTCTTGTTTTGTAGTCCATGCTGGTCCTTATGTAGGTCAGTTGAAATCAGACTGTTTTGGCCCCTGACAGAACAATGCTTTCTGCTTGATGTAATAGCACTAGTCTGTCTCACTACCCACAATGCACAGCCATGATATCACTCTCCAAGTTATATACTCATCCGATCGAGGTCAGACTGCCTTAAATGGCCCTAGACAGCAAGTGTGCAGCTGTTACATTCAACAGCTTGAAATATTACCTCTTTTTTCCATCTTTCTCTCCTTTCATTGTCTCAGGAGTTTGAAAATATAAAAAAAAAAATCCTGCATGCAGACATCCTTATTGTCAAGCTAAGTTAGCAATTGAGTCAAACGAGACTTTTGAGACAATTATTATTACAAAAAACAACAGCAAAAATAACAAGGGCTACAAAATATTTCTACATGTTTTATTTGGAATAAATACCTTGAAGCATGACAAGAAAAAAATATTTATATATAACAAGACATAATAGGTATTTACATGACTTGTTTGTGCACAGCCAGATGGATGTATACATGGTATACAAGCCCATGCAGGACATTGAAATATTTTGCTGTACAAAACGCAAAAGTAAAATATGCATTAAAGTAATACAGAAACCATCTTTTAGATGGACGATACGGTCACTCTGCAGAACCTCGATCAACAACGTAACATGTTTAGCGTATTACAGGGATTTTCACTTACTGTGTACAAAGAACGACTTGCCACTAAAGCACAGGGCACGACACTGTACAACCTTGTGCCACCAGCCACCAGTTCTTAAAATTCATTGTAATAGTAATAACTTAGTTAAAATGGCAACTGTACCAGACAGGGTATGATTATAGCAGCTGCACCTCTGGCTCAGTGGTAGGTAGAGGAGAGGAGATAAACAGCATTACAACAAATAAAAAAAGGGTTCTGGTTGAAAGCTGGATGAGGAGGGAATGTGTTTGGCAGTACAGAACATGGCTGAAAGCAGGAAATATGCTGGCCAGAAAAGAAAAAAAGTTAGGTCTGCTAAGCTAAATAACAGTGACTTTAAGGAGATGAATGGACATGCAAAAAGAGTTTAGGGGCAGACGGCTAACATGCTAACACACACGTACTGATAATACACAGGCCTTGTGTACATAAGGCTTTCTCCTTGCTGTTTCTGCTTTAGGGGGCTAATACATCGGCAAAGACTTAAACATTTCCATGATCTGTACTTTGTCAAAATTGCCCCTCTGAGTTACTGCATGTCATATTGTAGTGGTAAAGGTGGATCGCTGCATTGCACGAAAGGCCATGTGGTAAGTAGTTACATTTCTACACAGATGACTTCATTTATTTGCATGACGTAAAGCTTTGGGAACCGGCTTCCTCGCTCTATTTGTCAAAAAATGCTAATATTTAGGCCTGTTTGTTGACACAGAAAATGTGCTGATAGAAATGTAGCCTGTGCTTCTGCTCAGTCCTTAAGCAATGTGAAGAAAATGTAAAAACTAGTAAACCAGTAAACCAAATTTTTTACCTCTATTACAAATACTCCAGTCTCATTCTTGGAGCTTAAGTTTTGGTTAATAATGAATCACTTCCAAGTTAATTTTCTCCACAGCTCTGAGTTTTTAAGAAAAGAGGGTATCAAAGAGTAGATTGCAGCCAGTTTCATGCAGTACAAGGGCATTTGTGAGCTAGTTTATTATATACCCTGTGGAATGTTTCTGTTAACCCAGATGGACTATATCAGTATTTAGTTTGGCCTCCACCGCACACATTCATTAATGGCCATTTCAAACATCAATTGCTCACACAGATGTTTACACTGATGTCTGCAGGAAAACATAAAATATCATCCATTCAGTTAAAAGCAATGGATTTGTGCAGTTTAGGCTTAATAATTACACTGTTGTTTTGGGCTTGGATAGCAATGCTCAAAGTGTTCTCATTAGTAATCAGGTATTTGTAGAGTGTGGTTCTATCATATACATTTCCATATGCTTGCATAGACATGTACATTATTGACATATTAACAGCATCTAAAATGGAAACATTTTACATATAAATTATTTTATAGGCATACAAATGTTTAAAAAATCCTTTTTTGATTTATAGAATATTGAATACATTGATTTTACTGCATTTAATTAATTAAATTAATATGTTCTTTGTCATGCTTTTTCACTTAATTTAACATTACAGTAAAATTAATGACAAAAAGTCTATAAAATGGTATAATGTGGTAAAAATTGCCTGTTATATTTTGCATTGATGAGAAGTGGTTAGCTTTAGAGTAGAGGTGGGATTAGATTATAATAACTATACAAATATATTTCTAATATATAAAAAATTATATAAAGAATTAAAGAAAATTTTTGTTTTAAATGCAGAACATACTTCAATATGTTTATGTTTTAGGTGCTGTCAATACATCTATATCGTATGTATTCAAACATACAAAAAATGTACATGTACCCGTTTCTTATTAATACCAACAAATTTTAATGACGTCAGGCATGATTTTGAATTTGGTCTCATCTGGATGATTTACAGGTGATGGATGTGATTAGAATTAGAGGTAGAGTACTATTTGCATTTGTGTTCAATCCTGTTTATCTCACAACCTCAATTGTCTGTCTTTTATCAGTCATTTTTTTCCACAGCTGTCCATTTTTCCCAATTGTCAAACAGATGAAAAAATATATACTTATAGTCTTTTTTCTTTGTACTTTTCTCTGCTGAATATGCAATTTGACAAAATAGAAGGTCCATGTAGAGAAATATTAAATGGAGGGGTGGATTATTTACAAGGGGCTAATGAACAGAAGTCCAGTTCCTGTGGCTTCTTTTTCTCTGCACACTTCTCCCTGGGAAGCAGCTTTCCTACATTTGTAACGCAGCGAATCAGGCGCCGTTTGAAGCCCTTCCCACAGGTCTTGGAGCAGGGGGACCAGTCGCCCACCTCCCACATGGGGCAAGGGTCTCCACACGCCTGAATAGCACTGGGTTTTTGGGCAGGCTCACAGTCCATTCCAGGCCCACCATCTCCCCCGAGACACTGCACCATCCTCCTCTGGAGCCCATTACCGCAAGTAACCGAGCACACATCCCACCCGGCCGCCACCCACTTTCCTGGTTTTGGTGGAATATCTTTGACATACGATGGTGAGATTGTGTCCTTAAGAAGATCTGCCTCTTTTCCACTTTTACTGATTCCGCCCTCTTCCCTAAGAACATTGTTTTCAGCACGTGCCTTTTCTTCTTTCTTTTGCACCTTGGCATCTTTGCTCTCCCGTGGCAAGTAGAAAGAATAGCGGATACGTGGAGGTGTCATCTGGCCTACAGATAGCACTTCAATTACCAGGGCTTCTCCCAGAGGCTTCACAGCCTGAAGAGTTTCTGAGGAGCCAACTGTTCCACTGTAGCGGAGCAGACTTCCTTTCACAAGAATATCCTTCTCCATGGCTGAAACCACATAGTTTCCATTCAGCAGGTACTTGCCCTGGCTGTTCTTGACAGCAAGATAGTTGTCATCACTCACGATGCCCTTGTAGCCACGCTGCCTGATGTCAATGTTAGCGGCTCCCACAGGGAGCATGACCACAAAATTGTAACCATGCCTGAGAAGAGAAAGGTCAGAAGAAGTATTAGAATGGTTTTGGGATATTCTTCTCTCTCTTAGTACGTCAGTTGACCAATCCAAAAAGAAATACTAAGAATATGAGTTTGTGACGGCATATCCAAAAATAATGGCAAGAAATGTCTGATTCACAAAAAATGACTCTTATGAACCAGTTCTTTTTAGTGAAAGAAAAACATACAGAAAGGCAGTGTAATACAACTGACAAACAATTCATTCTCACTCTCATTCTCAAACACTTATCTGTATATTTTAGATATATAAGTATAAAGGACATCATAACCAAAAAATAAATAATCAAATTCAGAATCAAATCAAATCAGGAAATCTGTATTGATACCCAGGCTTACCAAAACATGAGATTAATAATCAGTGCATGAATTATTTTAAGATCATTTGTGTGACCCAACTTCACTCACATCGGCTTGGTGAAAAGGCCTGAGACCTTCTTGCAGTTCTTATTATCTCCTCCACAGACTCCACACTTGTTAAACTTCTTGTTGGATCCCAGTTTTCCATCACAGCCTGCCTTGATGCATTTGCCTTGGACACAGACTGATGAGGAGTCAGGAGAACATGGTGTACCATCAACAACCTATAAAAAAGCAGAGAAAAATGATTTGCATGCCAATTATATTGTGAATAAGCATAATGGTGACAAAAAATATATAGGGCAATTCTTGTACAACCATTTATTTTCTTTGCAAAACAATGTTTCATGTACTGATGATTTAAATACATAAATTACATTTCTTTTTTATTTGTAATTGAAAATGTACATTAGATAAATCCCTTTAATGGTTCCCATTGCTCAGTTTTAGAGCAGCTTTGCACAACAGGCTGATTTCTAGCTATGACAATATGTGTGGGGGTGCATTGAAACAAATGAGTCTAGCATGTCTACTATTAAGCTATTTCTGTCACGATTCTGTTGCTCATTTGTTTTGGATGAGTTAAACCTTCAAATTAGTAATGGGGCTTACTCAATTAATGTACAGTCTAGTCTTTGGTATTGTTTAATTTTTCCTTTATTTTTTGCCTTTGGCAAAACATGTCTTTAGCAGATGAGAGTCCATTCGGTCTCTTTAAGAGTTCAAGCTCTGAATAGTTTCTTCAGTGTCAAATCCCGGTCTCATAAACATACCTCTAGCCTTGACGTAACTGTTGCGTCTGTACAGTTTCACTCTGCACAACAGTATCTCACAAAGATAGGCCCTTTCACCTTCCTTATCTTTCCTCTCACTTTCATCTGTTCTTCCTGACCACTCAACTCTGCCTGTAGTGAAATCTGTTGTAAGTGTAAAGCAGCCACCAAACAGCAGGTATGCTGACCAGGCCTTTCTCCTCTTACATGCCTATAGTAATATATGGTTTTAATTTAATGATACTTTTCCGTTCAATAAATTCTTAGATGAAGGTTTAATAACTCATAACTGTTCTGATATTGCATGCAGCCTTTCATGTACCAAATTATTGCAAATGTATTTCATGGTGTTAAAGTGTGTTAAGTTCACTTTATGTTAAGTGAGACTCCCAGACTCACTGACAGGTTATATTCCCACATCCCCCATAAAGTCCTCAAGCTTCATAATTTCCAGTAAAAGAATTCATGTGAACCTTAGTTTATATATGTATTATTAGCTAATATAGTGAACTATAACCGACACGATTAACCGGTAGAAATTTGACGTTGCTATGATACATGGTCACTTATTGTTTGCACGCGCTTTTAAGCATTGTGGTTTAAAACAAGTGATTTTAAGCCAGTAAAATGCAATCACCAGCAAAAGATAATTAATTTCACTATATGCACACTAAGAGACTGTTTCTGAGCACTGTCAGAGAGGCACGCACTTAGAGTTATTTTTGCCACTCTATAGGCCTTGAAAGGTTAAATACGCACACATTTGTACATGTCAAAATGCCCGTCTTTGCAATTATCCTTGTAAACACAGTAATTTAGGTCTTAAGTATAAGCAAACAGCCGAGAAAGAAAATACATGTGTAACAGTATATTGGATCCGGGCAGCTCTTAAAGTGACAGCAGTCTAATATTCCTGCTGTCTGTCACTCATGTTAATCAAACAACAAAAGAGAGAAAATCTCTCACTGCTCTTGCTAAATCACTTTAAATACTCTAAATAACTTTAATAATAAGAAATATATATTTAATTTACACAGTGAAGAATATGCAGTGTTTAAACATTTGATTACTTTATTTATTTATTTGCTAGTTTTTTGTGACAAGAATGATACAATTTTGATATCATAAAGACCTTATTTTAAGCAGAAATAACTATATTGTGATATAAACCGTTACCATTAAATAAAATTACTCATATCGTGATATAAGATTTTGGTCATATTGCCCACCCCTACTAGTTGTAATAAATAGGCCCTATTATTTTATTACTCATATTTTCCACTGCATGAACTGATGAAATTTATATTAAAATCATTTCATTTTGTTTTTTTATTTCTAATTGAGATGGTTTTTAACATGTTAATTGCTCACCTTAGGTGCAAGAACGTGGAAGTAGCCTGTTCCATTTGCCCTGCAGATCAACTTGCATGTATCTTTAGCCGAAACACCAGAATATTTGGGCACCCACACCACAGAGGGGGTGAGCCGGTTAGTGTTCAGGCTAAACCCATTGTAAGCTTCACACTGCTCCTCACGGTAGCTCTTACCTAAAGTGACAATGAGGCAGATGTAAGTGGCACACATTCTTGAAATTCTTATTTTATTCCATATGCAATGCATAAAAGCATAAATTATTCCAAGTAATAAAATTATCCTTGTTTACTTGACTTTTGTTTACACTGATGCTGATTTTGTGTAGACAGAAAACATTTAAACCTGTGTCAGGGCATGGAGAGAGGTTGCAGGACCGGTATTTGACCCTCACTCCCTGGCAGTATTTGCCGCCATTGACTGGCACAGGGTTGTCACACTCTCTCTTTGAAAGCTGCACTCCACCTCCACAAGTTCTGGAGCAGGTACCAAACGGTCCCCATTTACCCCATCTGCCATCCACCTAATACAGAAGAAACAGGGAGAGGGGGTTGTCACAACTCACTTGACCTTTGAACATTGAACATCCTTTTACAACAAGCTCTATTTTACTTCTAAATCCCAAATGACTTGGCCACCAAGAACACGTTCACGGGTCATGTGCAAGATCGCTAAGCAACAGGGCAAATAAACCAAGTAACAGGTCAAGTGCAGTACATTTAATAGGCTGACATTGGTATGTCAAATCTCTGTTGTGGTCACATGATATCTTTCACACTGCAGTGAGAGTTATTTCAAAATGTGTTCAATGTGTTCATTCAACAAAAGTTTAAATCCTCTTTTCTAAAATTCTAAATTCTGCAAGTGAGCATGATTAAGACAGCAGTGACAGTTTGTATATTTAGTGTCCATCCATCCAAGTATTTGGAATACTGTAGATGTATGAAGGTACCTTCGTTTTGGTGATCTCCTGTTTGTCCATGCATGTGCCTCTCATGCAGAGCTGACCGTTCCCGCAGCTGGTTCCGTCTGCCCATGGAAAGTGTCTTGTCTGGCACACCAGTTGCCCGCGGGTCTTTCCTGTGCACCACAAGCGCTGACATGGTGCCTGCATGAACGGGCACGGCTTTGAGCCGGCACCGAAGGCAAGCTCACACTGCCGCTCTAAACCATACGATGCACCTGGGAGCACCTCTGGAAGAGCTAACGGTTTCTGAGGTTGATCCAGCAGACAATCGCCTGCAAAGATGTCAAATAATAAGAGTTATTTGAGTTGAGAGTTGTTTTACCTGTAATTCTTTATTAAAATATACAGTAAGTATGGTTTTATGCAGTAAAAAAATTAAGTTTGACTGGAGTGTGTGCATGATATATTTTCTTTAGATATTTGTCTATCAGAAATGTAAGTGTATATATATACATATGTCTTCATCTACAGAGGGCAAATATCCGCCCTGAGAGGGGTTCTGATACCTCCAGTGACCCCACTGTAAACCTTCACAGAAACACTCCAGTCAAACAGTTACGTCATTCGCCACACTGTTTCAACAAAAATTTAGATCTGCAAGTTGTAACGTAGGCTGACCTTGGGATGTCTATTTCTTTGAAGACAGCTTTTCAGAAAGCACCAACACTGAGATGTTAAACCCAGACTCACCCATCGCTCTATTAGCCCTGAGCACGCTCATATACACTACGATTCAAAAAGGACCAGTTTTGTTTGTTTTTGAAAGAAGTATCTTATGCCCTACAACATTTCTTTATTAAAATACAGTAAATGAGTAAATTCAGTGAAATAGTTTTACAACTTAAAATAACTGTTTTCTAATTTCATATATTTTAAAAAGTAATTTATTGCTGTGATCAAAGCTGAATTTTCACCAGAAGTTACTTCAGTCTTCAGTGTCACACACTCTAAAAAACGTTGGGTTATTTACTGTACCCAATATCTGGGTTAAACATGTTGGGTCATTTTGTTGGGTTATTCCTATGTTTATTGGGTTATTTCTATAACAACGCAACCAGTTGGGTTACATTTTTAAATTCCAATGGTCGATCAGTGCAACTGCTACAGATGACACAGTGGTAATAATATGTGTGTGTTATGTTGTTTTTTGTAACAAAGTGTCTTTAAGCCCTGACACAGTAATGTTGCTGTTAGCCGAAACACCAGAATATTTGGCCACCCACACCACAGAGGGGGTGAGCCGGTTAGTGTTCAGGCTAAACCCATTGTAAGCTTCACACTGCTCCTCACGGTAGCTCTTACCTAAAGTGACAATGAGGCAGATGTAAGTGGCACACATTCTTGAAATTCTTATTTTATTCCATATGCAATGCATAAAAGCATAAATTATTCCAAGTAATAAAATTATCCTTGTTTACTTGACTTTTGTTTACACTGATGCTGATTTTGTGTAGACAGAAAACATTTAAACCTGTGTCAGGGCATGGAGAGAGGTTGCAGGACCGGTATTTGACCCTCACTCCCTGGCAGTATTTGCCGCCATTGACTGGCACAGGGTTGTCACACTCTCTCTTTGAAAGCTGCACTCCACCTCCACAAGTTCTGGAGCAGGTACCAAACGGTCCCCATTTACCCCATCTGCCATCCACCTAATACAGAAGAAACAGGGAGAGGGGGTTGTCACAACTCACTTGACCTTTGAACATTGAACATCCTTTTACAACAAGCTCTATTTTACTTCTAAATCCCAAATGACTTGGCCACCAAGAACACGTTCACGGGTCATGTGCAAGATCGCTAAGCAACAGGGCAAATAAACCAAGTAACAGGTCAAGTGCAGTACATTTAATAGGCTGACATTGGTATGTCAAATCTCTGTTGTGGTCACATGATATCTTTCACGCTGCAGTGAGAGTTATTTCAAAATGTGTTCAATGTGTTCATTCAACAAAAGTTTAAATCCTCTTTTCTAAAATTCTAAATTCTGCAAGTGAGCATGATTAAGACAGCAGTGACAGTTTGTATATTTAGTGTCCATCCATCCAAGTATTTGGAATACTGTAGATGTATGAAGGTACCTTCGTTTTGGTGATCTCCTGTTTGTCCATGCATGTGCCTCTCATGCAGAGCTGACCGTTCCCGCAGCTGGTTCCGTCTGCCCATGGAAAGTGTCTTGTCTGGCACACCAGTTGCCCGCGGGTCTTTCCTGTGCACCACAAGCGCTGACATGGTGCCTGCATGAACGGGCACGGCTTTGAGCCGGCACCGAAGGCAAGCTCACACTGCCGCTCTAAACCATACGATGCACCTGGGAGCACCTCTGGAAGAGCTAACGGTTTCTGAGGTTGATCCAGCAGACAATCGCCTGCAAAGATGTCAAATAATAAGAGTTATTTGAGTTGAGAGTTGTTTTACCTGTAATTCTTTATTAAAATATACAGTAAGTATGGTTTTATGCAGTAAAAAAATTAAGTTTGACTGGAGTGTGTGCATGATATATTTTCTTTAGATATTTGTCTATCAGAAATGTAAGTGTATATATATACATATGTCTTCATCTACAGAGGGCAAATATCCGCCCTGAGAGGGGTTCTGATACCTCCAGTGACCCCACTGTAAACCTTCACAGAAACACTCCAGTCAAACAGTTACGTCATTCGCCACACTGTTTCAACAAAAATTTAGATCTGCAAGTTGTAACGTAGGCTGACCTTGGGATGTCTATTTCTTTGAAGACAGCTTTTCAGAAAGCACCAACACTGAGATGTTAAACCCAGACTCACCCATCGCTCTATTAGCCCTGAGCACGCTCATATACACTACGATTCAAAAAGGACCAGTTTTGTTTGTTTTTGAAAGAAGTATCTTATGCCCTACAACATTTCTTTATTAAAATACAGTAAATGAGTAAATTCAGTGAAATAGTTTTACAACTTAAAATAACTGTTTTCTAATTTCATATATTTTAAAAAGTAATTTATTGCTGTGATCAAAGCTGAATTTTCACCAGAAGTTACTTCAGTCTTCAGTGTCACACACTCTAAAAAACGTTGGGTTATTTACTGTACCCAATATCTGGGTTAAACATGTTGGGTCATTTTGTTGGGTTATTCCTATGTTTATTGGGTTATTTCTATAACAACGCAACCAGTTGGGTTACATTTTTAAATTCCAATGGTCGATCAGTGCAACTGCTACAGATGACACAGTGGTAATAATATGTGTGTGTTATGTTGTTTTTTGTAACAAAGTGTCTTTAAGCCCTGACACAGTAATGTTGCTGTTTTTCCTACAAGTATGTTTACATCTCCCCTGTCGACTGATATTTTAATCCGTAAAAAATCCGGCACTCTTGACTTGACACGAGTGCTTTGAAGCCGATCAATTTCAAACCTATAAAAAACGGTTTCCTTACTTTTTCAGTTTGTCTCGACAGTTTTGGGGGAAATTTTACATATATTTCAGATATTTGGCCGACGCGCTCATCTCGAAGACCAGCGGAGCCTCTTTCATCCGGTGTCGCGTCCACTCTGAGTGAAGGTATGTCGCCATTTTATTCCTTTCGTATGAAAACTCTCTATCTGTTCTCTCTCTCTCTTGTATGGTGTTTGAATGTCTCTTACTCAATATTCAAGGTAAAGGAGTTTGTGCTGATTTATAAGGGGGGTTCAGCCTCTGTCGCCAGGAAGTCTATTCCTTATATGGATATGTTTTTCTGTATATGTGGCAATTTTATACAAAACACATGTTCTTGGGAAAAACATCCTGTATGGGTATGTCCCCCTATCCTCATTGGTTAAGAGGGTGAAAACTCCCCTCGACATGCCTATATAAGATCTGTATTTCTGTGAATAAATTGAAGTATTGAGAATACATGGACTGTGTGTTTTCTTACTTCCCGGCCGTATTTATTTACACTTGGAGAGACTGAGAAGATTTCACGGTGGCAAAGAGATATCGAGGGACCAAATTGTTATTTATTAACAGTCACATAATAACTGCTCTTAAATTAAATGAATACTGTTTGTATTATATAATAGGGTCTGAACAGGATGCTGCATTTACACAGTTTCTAAAATGAATGAAAGTTCCACTGTCAAAACCTGTTTTTATACAGTCTATGGTCAAAACCCCATACACGTCTTAACTATACCACTTGGGTGAAAGTACACCCTGATACGGATAAATGATAATACAACTAAATAATTGGACAATTGCATTTTCAGAATTTAATTACATTTTATGCTCAAAAAGAGGCTTAAATGCAAAATAATAAGGCATACATATCATATATCATAAACATATAATCACATTTGAAAAGTTAAAAAAGTTTGTTTTGTATGTACACTGTACGTAACAGTTTGTGAAAATGAAAATATTAAGGACACTTAAAAAAATGTGTTAAAAATATTTAATTAGTTGATATTTATTTTTGTAATGTGTTTATGTGAAGTCATAATCTTGTTAGAATGTAGTACTGTTTTGATTTATGTTTAATCATTTTCATAGTGTGATTTTTGGTGTACTGTATTAAAACTAGTTAATTAATTAGAACAATATATGAAACCCACAAAACCATTAAAAAAATGTATGTCTCTGTTCACTCTGTTTCAATTGATAAATAATAAGTAGTGAGATTTTAATTATATTTTGAACACTGAAGTAGGAAATGTTGTCTTTTTTAATTATTTAACTGTTACTATTTGTTCATTTTAGATTGCTCTGGACTAAGGTATATTATACCCACATGTAGGGATGGATAGACTTTGAGCTCAAAGGGGCATGGGTCTCAACAGATAATCGCATATTGCAAGACAAAGAAGAGAGCCTAGGATCGTCCGGATATTTCTTCTGGTGAGAAAATCCTGCTCTGTATTTTCATGCCAAATTGTAATATTTTACATTATGTACTGACAAGCACACCAACACACACTTAGGGACAGTTCTACTAAACAGGTCAAATTAGCGCCAGAGCGCAATTCCAAAACAGCGCCGATGGGCGTGGAAATATCTGCGGGTGATTTACTAACAACACGCAAATTAAAGAACACAAACACAACATCTAATTTACATATCGACCAACACAATATACCAAGCGCAGTGAAAATTAGCGTAGTTACAAATAAAGAATAAAGATATAAATAAGCCACAGTAGGCTACGTTGAAAAGAACTGGAGGCCAAAAAATGAAGGGTTGCAAGAAGTTTTGATAGAGCTGGTATTGCATGACTCCTAGTTGAGGGTTCCAAGTCATCTTTTATTTCCTGAAGCAAATTAAAAATAACATGGCTTGGCAAATGATATGTTCGGACAATGTGTTCTTCTGGCATTCCAAATAAAATTAATATGTGTGGAAAAAAAATCCTCCTCCTTCTACCACACGCTCTCTGTTCTCTGTGGTGCCTCGTCCTATAGCAACAATAATTGTAGCCATTTCAAGTGCAAAATTGTTTAAAGGGAACAAAATAGTTTTTTCACCTAAAAATGAAAATTCTGTCATTAATTACCCACCCTCGTGCCGTTCCTCCCATAGACAGCAAGGGAACTACCACGGTCAAGGCACAGAAAAGTACCAAGATGATTGACAAAGTAGTCCATGTTACATCAGTGTTTCAACCATAATGTTACGAAGCTATGAGAATACTTTTTTTTTTTGTGCAAAGAAAACAAAAATAACGACTTTATTGCACATTTTCGTCTCTACGGCATAGGGGTGTGCCATATCATACCGTCCACGATAACACCGGTATACATTTTTACATGATAAAAAAAGTGTCATATCGCGATATCAATGATATAGCGTCAATGATGATGTATTTACTAGGATTTACTCTGACCGTGGTAGCGCAAAAATAACTGTCTACGCCTTTTCAGCGTTAATTCATCACTGCACGTTTTTAGTAAAAACTGACAGTACAATTTTAACACCAAAAGACGGTTTGCGCTGGGGCAAGCTGTTAGTAAAACTGACTCTTAAAGGGTTAATTCACCCAAATGTTTAACTTTTTTTATCATTTATTACTCATGTTATTCCACATCTCCATGAGTTTTTTTTCTTTTTCTGCCTTACACAAGATATTGTACTTTCATAGTATGAATAAATACACGTTCTTCTAAATCTTCTTTTGTGTTCAACAGAACACAGAAACTCATACCGGTTTGGAGCAACTTGAGGGTGAGTAAATGATGAGAAAAGATTCATTTTTGGGTGAACTATCCCTTTGAGAAAAATCACACAAGCAAGAGTACTGTGAAGGTGTCTTTAAATAGCTGAGTTAAGGCTGCTTGTGCCTGCTCAAAATACTCTGTATAGCATTGCAGCATTAAACAGTATGTAAAGACACATAAAAGCTACTTTCAGAAGTGCTTCTGTGCCATCTTTATAATGTGAATTTGGACTCTAGATCAATATAGATCAGGTATGAGACCACAGCCTGCTTATATAGAGTCCCAACAGCATGATTACGAGAGTGATACATAGTTTTTACATAACTTAAATTTAATTCTATATGTCATTGATACACTGACATTACCACCCACTAGCATAACAATGTAACATGCAGAAGGAGTTCAAAAATCCCCACACCTGTCTATAATGATACAAACACCACTCTTGTAACACTCGGCTAATATAACAGACATTAATCCATTATTACAACAGTAAGAAGTCAAATGAAAGACCATGGCTTAGAAAAGTGTGGATTTTTTTCCATTTCCCCCCCCCCCAATTTTTGTTCAGTGATTAATCCATTGTTCTTTCTATTTAAGATGGTCTTTGGAGATTGCATTAAAGTTGCATTAAA